ACAGGCCACTGCCCTCTTTGAGCCAGCCTCTGTCTTCTCATTTGTGATGTGGGAAGGAGAGTACCCCTGCCTGTAGTTGCACCAAGGCTTATTGGGTCTGATAACCTGACCAGCCCTCAACAGCAGTGGGCCCGATCCTGTAGTGGAAGCAGCGCTGGGGTTGAATCCGCAGCGGATTGCTGTGGAGGAACGCAGCTAGCAAGAAGTGAGAGAGGTGACCCTGGTTTACGAGCATGGAGGCTGGGAGACCAGGCAGGCAAGAGGTAAGGGATGGAGAGGAATCAGAAAGAAGATACCAGACTCACGGGCTAGCTGCACGTGGGGCAGGGAAGGGGGCAAGGAAGGCCAGCCCAGACCTTCAGTGAGGTGCCCGTCACAGAGGCTGGTGGCTGGGTTTAGGGGAGGCTGGCAAGGAATTCTGAAGGGTGCCACATGGAAGCTTCCAGGCCTTTAGAAATCGTGGTTTTCATCTTTTCTCTGAGTCCTTCTGAGCTACCTGCAGAGCTGAGCCAGGCCAGTGCTCAGCTCCCATCCACCATGGGCTTCTGCTGTCATAAAACACCACCAGAAAATTCTAGGAAACAGAAATGAAAAACTAAAGGTAGACAGAAAAGCCCCAAACATGTCTTCACAGATCCAGTGAGGTGAGACTATCCCATGAATACAGATGGCCCGGGCGCTCTCTGTACTGCTTCGCTGTCTTCTTGTCCCCAAGCCTGGCCAGTTCCCCTCTCCACAGGCTCACTTCCTGCCACAGGTGGGAAAGCAGGCCAGACAAAGGAGCAGAGGCTCCAGGGCGTCCTGAAGTCAACCCAGTGCAACAATCCCTGATGTTTTCGCTTCTGATATTCTTCCAAGTGTAAAGTCAGCTGGAGACACAATTACTGCTTGATGGAAATGGACAGACAGCAACCTGCATGCTCCTCTAGGGCCAGAGAAGTTAAGTCAACTGCCTGTGATCACACAGCCTGCAGGGAGCAGAGGCAGAGTGGAGCCCAGCAGGCTGGCTCAAGTCTTTGCTTTTAGCTCGCCTGAACAGCTTCATTCATATGCACATTTGTTCCTTCTTTTCTTCTTTTCTTTTTTTTAGGCCCAAGACCAGAACTCAAACTCAATACCTGATGCTTTCATTCATTGGCTAGGACTCTACCAACTGAGCCACAGCCTCCAACACTCCCTGGAGCGCTCCAGGGAGAGGGACCAACATACAAAACACACGGAGGTCAGTGAAGCAAACCAAATTTTAAAACTTTTTAAATAAAACTAAAGCCGGATTATAGGAGATGGAAGTGACAGCCTGAGGTCTGATGGTTGGCTTCGGGGAAGGGAGAGCCCTGAGCCACTTCTTCCCAGTTCAAAGGGAGTCATGGAGCCTGCAGTGACACTGCTTCAGTGTCTTTGCCCTGGGGAATCTCAGGAGTCATTGGAGGCTTTCCTGGGTGGTCCACTCAGTGGTCACCCACAGGCCTGCACATCAGGCTCCACCCTGGCACTGGTGACAATAGCAACACTCAGTATTTGTAAGCTCTCTAGACATGCTGCCTGTGGTCACTAGAGGGCAGAGTGATGCCGCTGGCATCCCTGTGATACCCACTGCACGTGAGCTAGTTATTGTCACTGCGGACAGGGAGCTAGCTCAGTATGAAACGCCCCCTCCCTTCCTGCTTTGGAGACCCAGTCCTCAGAAGTTTCCCCTTGCTCCAGCCAGCCTTATCTCTTGGGGATTAACTGTCCACTGAGCCTGTCTTCTATACACTGAGTATACACTAAAGGTCGCTAGGAATGTGCCCCAGTACTGGCGGTGGGAGGTCATTCCTGGGAGGGTTCTGGACAGAAATGCTGAGCACAACAAAACCAGGACCTTTGTCACTTAATGTCTTCTTTAGATCCCGGGCTGCCACTCCGCAAGAATGAAAGAAGAAAGCCACAGCCCTCCCTTTAGAAGAGCCCAGAAACACTGGACCACTGGGACCACCTACCTTCCCTTGTGGGGGAATCACACAGAAGCTTCTCCCTTGGGCAGAAGAAGATGGTTAGAAGGTGAAGAACCTCATCTGCCGCCGCGCAGGCTGGTGGTTAGGAAGGCTGTTTATCTCCTGTCCCTCTGCCTCCAGACCCGATGGTTCTCTCGGCAGCAGTGATTCAAACAGGAGCCGTCCAAGGCCCTGAGGCGCTGCTCTGGCTCTGCAATGTGCTGCACAGATCTCATCCTCGTCTGCCTGCTGTTCCGCCTGCCCCTGGGGTCTCCCTGTCAGCCCCACGTTTGGTGAGGCTTATTCTGGGGGAGCCCCATGATGAGGCACCCGTGTTGGTCAGAGGGCTGGGAACAGGGTCCCGGGAGACAGCCAGTGTCTCTGCCGGAGCCCCAAGCACACAGAGGGCAGGCAGGGGCAGGGGCAGGGAGTCCACAGCTGACAGTGAGCCCCGCCCCTCTCAACAGCCCACCCTTGTGGCCTTGCAGGGGATTCTGTGCCAGCCGGGCAGCTTGCCTACAGGCCACACACGACCCTTCCTCACCCCATACTGCAGCACATGCATGCACGCCCCCCTGTGGTGAGCTCCACCCCACAGGGGTCAGGAGTCAGGGCTGGGGTGGGGGGGCTGGGTGCTCCCTGGCAGCAGTGTTCTCTGTTCTGCTTCTCATGCTCACCCTGCGGTCCCTGCAGGCCCTCACTTTCTGGAAGTGTTGGGGAACATGCGCACAGAGCTTCCCCTGCCTATAGGTTGGAAATTTAAAGTTGTGGTTTGTGTCCTGAGGGAGCAGGGAAGGGGGGGGGGGAGAGGGGCAGGAAGAGGAGGCAGAGGAGGTAGCAGGCGTGGCCCTCTCCCCGTGCTGGAGGGGGTCCCCAAGGCCTCCAGATTTGCCTGTGCCCAGGCTGTGGCCGGGGAGGAGGCAGATGGGCCTCGTGCGTGTTGGCTCTGTCTCAGGCCATGCTGTCCTCCCTTCATAATGATCTTCTTCTTCCTGGCCGCTCTCATGGCCCCCAGACCACGGGCTCAGTGAGCTATTCTGGGCGCCCTGCCTGCCCACCCTGGACACACTCAGGCCTTCTGTCTGCCCACGCCATCCTGAGGAACTTTCATAATGCAGCCTTGTTCCCTCCACTGGGCAGGCACCCGTGTCCGCTCCTGGGGGCCACGAGAGGAGGGGGCAGTGCCAGCTGGGGTGGGGGTCTGCACTTGGCCAGTTTCTAGGAAGACATGGGCTATGTGTGGCCAGCACGGGGGCCACCTCTTTGTCGGCAGCCCCTCCAGCTTCTGTAAGAGCAGAAAGCCGCTGCCCCACTCCCCTGAGAGAGGCCACAGGGGCGCCGAGCCTCAGCACAGGCTGTGCAGCTGAGCCTCCTGCCGCTGCCTCCTGTCTCCTCCTTCAAGGCTGAGTGTAGGTTTTCCTGTTTCAACAGGGTTCCGGAGCTGAGGACTTCTTTGTCTCATCCCCCTGTTTGGGGGGGTCCAGGATAACTGCACCTGGCTCAGCCATGGTCCCTGGAGCCTAACCCAGCACCTGCCTCAGTCACAGCAAGGCTCACTGATGAACGCATGAGCCACCCAGTCAAGATCAGCAATCAACCTGTGCATCCGTGAAGCGGTCATTCAGTGCATTCATTCACTAACGAGACCAGGAGACACAGGCAGAAGACAGATTGTCTCTCTAGCAGGAATCTTTGTCTAAGACATATTTTTATTCATTTGATCTTTCTCCCTCACCTTTAATCCCTTCTTGGGCAGAAGCAGGACAGGTTCCCATAACCCACAACGAGTCCCAGGCAGGGGACACCAGGCCTGGCACACACAAGGCACAAGGAATGCTAACTGAGTAGCTAAGCCAATGCCATTTGCATGATCTCGGGACCTTTATTTGCACCTGCTGCGTCATAAGCCTAGATTCTGCACACACACAGCCTATGTGAAGAAGGCCACTTCCTTCTGGTCTCAGTGAAAACATCCTTTCCTTGGGGAAGCTGTTCTGGCTGCCTTTTCCACAGCTACTCTATCTAGCACCTGCTTGGCTCCTTCCTGGTTCTCTTTGGCAGAGGTAATAACTGTTCACCTGCTTCTGTTCCAATTTGGGTACTGACCTAAGCTGTCTGCCTCTTTCTGTGTCCTCTGTTCTAAGCAGGTCTTGTGGGATAATCATATGGTCTGCTGCAGGCAGAGGAGGCAGTTATTGATAATCTGAACATGCATAAAGGCAATTGTTCAGGTTCTAATGTCATTGGGAAGATTGTCAAATAAATCCCAGTGAAAAAGTTAACCTGTTCAGTCAACATGAGTGACTCAGACCCCCCTGAGTAATGTTACTGAGGTATTGTGGGTTGCAGGAAAATTGGAAACAATTTGAATGTTCATAGAACTCCACAGTTCACAAGGTTGTCTTTAGGGTCTGGTGGGAGGAAGAGATATAGCAAAATCTTTTTCTAAAAAGTATAACTACATTGATCGTGTGTGAGTGTGTGTGTGAAAGAGAGAGAGAGAGAGAATAGAGAGAAGGGAGAGAGAAGCAGGAATACAGAAAAAATGGATTTTTCTAGGTGGTAGAATAAAAACGTAAGTTTTGTTGTGTTCCTCTTTAAGTTTTGCTATTTTTTAAGCCAGCTACATGTATAGTTTTTGTAGTGTGAAAAAAAATTAAGAAAAAAAATAGAATGATTTAAGGGCAAACTTAAATTAACCTTCCCCTCACCCCCAACCAAACCAAAACAAAACAAAAGGGCTAGGAATGTGGCTTAGTGGTAGAGCGCTTGCCTTGCATGCATGAAGCCCTGAGTTCAATTCCTCAGTACCACATACACAGAAAAAGCTGGAAGTAATGCTGTGGCCCAGGAGTGCTAGCCTTGAGCAAAAGAAGCCCAGATCCTTTGGGATGGGAAGGTGGCTCAGTGGTAGAGCGCTTGCTTTGCATGCCAGAGGCCCTGGGTTCGATTCCTCAGCACCACATAAGCAAAAAG